TGGATAAGAGAAGCGCAAAACAGAGATGAATGGAGAAGTTGCCAGTTGCATCAGTAACGAGAAGAAATGCCAGTTGAAAAAACAGCTCATCGCCTGATAAGTTATCAAATAATTTTTGCTATTTTCAAGATTAGTTGTGCTACAAAGAAGTCAGTCGCTCATGTAGACAAACTTAGTCATGCGTGTTCTTCAAATTTTGCATAGTTCATTTGCTTGCATTAGAGTTTGTGTTACAATATGTTCCTAGCATTTGCATAACTTATTTGTCCATATTACACCTTTACATAATATGCAAATCTGTGCACAGAAATTACTGCCGCTGGGACTACTATAAATGACGGATACTACGGATTTTTCTTCAGTGAAAAAATTTTCGCTTCGGCGGCTGCTGGATGTGATTGCGTTTTTTGCTGGAAACGACAAGAGCTCAGGAAGGCTGGGGATGAAAAGCGCAGTGAACAGAGGAGCGGGCGGATCAAGCTGGCGCTGTGATGCTTCGTTGAAAGAAGAATGAAGTGGGGTTCCAATAAAAGGACTAATTGATCGTTGAAGATGGTGGAAGGATCGTTGTCAAGTTGGTTTTAATGATAATGATGGTGGCAGGACGAGATGGATCCTGCGAATGATTATGGCAGAGAAGGAATTAAACGCGGTCGCGAAAAAGGCCGAAGACGGAAAAACGAAGAGAACCGAGCGCGGTTATCCAGTGAGGATATCTGGAAAATATTGAAGAGTTCTGCTGCCGTATACAGCGACTTAGTATGGGGCAATCTATGGTAAAATACAATGCTGGAGTTCCACCGCAGTTTCATCTTTGCAATGCACTGTACAGGGAAAAACTGCGGAAGATGATGATAACAGATCTTAGAGGAGTGAAGGAAATAGCCACGACCACTCAGTATACTTCATAGACTGGAACCCCTCTTTTCAATTCGTCGAAATTTTGGTCTTGCGTTTTTCAACTTATAGAAATGTATCGCTTCTTTTTTCAAACTTGTTTTAAAAAAACTCTTATTGTACTTATTCGTGGAGAGTCACTCAGTGATAGCAGTTTGTCCAGTTCGATTTCTTCAGTTTCCAGTAACTATGCCTTTTCTGATTTTATCTGTTATTCGTTGTTTGTTGAAATTTTTTGTGTTTTCTGAATTTTTTTGATTTCGTGGTAAAGGAAATTGGCCGTCTTCAATAAATCCACTGTCTGTGATAAGGCAAGAAAATTGGATTCAGAAATCACAATGAGTAGATGCAAGAATTTGAGGTGCAGGAAAATGTGATACACTGCTTTCTTGTTATTCAGTATGAACTTTCAGGCATGGCTGAATAAATTTTTGTTTTGCATTAAATTTTTTTAGTCACAAATTGT